GATATTGTACTACTTTCTTTCTCTAGTATCTATAAAAATCAGATTCTGTAAGGACTCCTTGGTGAGCTAATATGTGAAGCACATGAGTGTTTGTGCCTATTAAAGCAGTCCTGTTTACAGTAGTCTTTCCTTACAGTAGTCAGGGTATTTTAGAACATTAATGGGAAGCTCTTAATCTACTGCTTAGCTGTTTTGACTGAATTTACATACACAGAGATTAAATACTGCCAGAATTTATGCACAAAAATGTAAAGGTTGTCACCTTTGAATGTTTTTTTTCTTGAGCTGCTGTATCAGAAGCTCTGAAGAGGTGAGTTGTGGGGAAAAAAATAATTCTTGCTTTCTGAGGCAATTTTGAAATTGGTTATGCCAGTTTAAAGGAGTTCACTGACCCGTTTGTAATGTGTGGGAGCCGTATCTCTTTGCAGCTTCTGGTTTTTGGAAGAGCTTGAGAAGCCTGATCCAGTGAGAGTGAAATGAAACTCTTACCATGATTCAGTGCATTTTGTCAATGGCTGCCTAGCTGGTCCAGTGTTTCTCAAGAAAAAGCAGAACTGTTCTATACAAAAGAACATTTAAATTATTTTTTTTTTAAAAGGAAAAATCAGCAAGGGGCAAATGCATCCTCTCTTTTAAGCTTATTTATGGGAGTTTTTTTAAAAAGGCTTCATAGGTGATTTTATCTATAAGCAAATTAAAGACTGACAGTTTGCGCCTTGTGTGTGGCAAAAGAGAGAATGGTTAGCACAGATGGTTCTCATTTTTTTATCACCTTTGCTGCTGAGGAGTCAGGCTTACTGCAAGCACGGCTATTGTCAGAAAAAAAAAAGGTGGGAAAACAGCATCTTTTGAACCGGAGAGTTAGGATTTAGAGACCATTTATTTTTTTAAGATAATGCATTTGTATTTATTTTGCCAGTATGTGGATGGTATGAGTTAGCCGCTGGTAATGTAGTAAACTGCTTGTAGGTGTAGTAAGGAGCTGATGGTACTCTTCAGGTAGTAATGGATGGATGAGGCTCTTAACTGAAGGCTGTGCATGAGTACTTCAAATTTAAAAAAAATAAATGTAAAGAAAATGTTTGGTTTTGCCCTTCTCAGCCCTCTGTAGCTGAAATGTCTGTGTAAGACCAAGCTGGACTCTCTTCTCACTGATGCATCACACATATGTGCTTAGAGAAAGGTTCAGAGTGTAGACTTTTAACCTGTCTAGTGACAGCTTGCATCTTGAGCTGGCAGTGAGGATAAAATTGTGTGGAAAGAATAAATTCCAATAGGAGTCCTGGAGAAATTAGTCCTGTGGTTCTTTCATGCCAGGCTCTAGGTCTTTTTTGGGTTGTGTTTTAACAGAGAGCTGTGCAAATTAAATGTGGACTTTCACATACCATTCTATTAGTTCAAGGTTGCGAATGCAGCACACTAACATAGTATTGGGGTAAAAAACCTGTACTTTGAAAGTGAGCAGTCTCATTTATGTTCACAGCAGGTAGCCTGCCTGAGGGACAGACTGGAGCCCTGTCTCTGGGTTTTCCACCCTTCTCCCTGGCAGTCTGTCCCTCAGGCAGGCACAAAGCTGTACTCCCTTGGGGATGTACCAGTGTTGCTCCTTGGTCAGAGATATTGCTGCCACATGGCTGGCAGTTTGTCTGCATTTGTGGGATGTGAAATCTGTGCTGCAATCCTCAGGCTAGTGAGTATGCCCCATTTGTGAATTGGTTTGAAACCAGGCTTTAGCATGGCAGGAGTGCAGGGAAACAGTCCTGCATCAGTGGGTTCTGAGCTCCACTCAACTCCTCTATGTTAAAAAGCACAGGTGTAGTGGAATCCATGGGCACTTAGCATTGCCATGTTTTCACCTTGAAGATTCAAGAGCATGCCTGTCTTGTATTAGTACAATAAGAGTACCATCTAAGAAAGGATTTTGTGTTTTTTTCAAAAAGCAGTCTCAAAGAAAGAAGAAACCTGGGGAATGGTCAGAACCTTGACAAGTCCACAAGGGCCCTAAGGGACCCCTGATCCAGGGGCCTCACTAAGGCTAATCTCAACACCAGCAGTGTCTAGGTTGTGAGGAGAGGATGCCCATGTTTGTCTCTGCTCCAGGGTGCACCTCAGTCACAGAATCATAGAATGTCTTGGCTTTACCTAAAAAAGGTAATCTAGTCCAATCCCCCTACAATAAACAGCAACATCTCGAACTAGAACAGATTGCTTAGACCCACATCAAGCCTGACCTTGAATGTCTCCAGGGGTGGGGCCTCTACCACCTCTCTAGGAAGCCCATTCCAGTGATTCACCACCCTCATGTTGAATAACTTTTTCCTAATGTCCAACCTAAATCTACCCTATTTTAGCTTAAAACCATTACCCTTTGTCCTATCATTACATGCTCTCGTGAACAGTCCTTTCTACCTTGTCTTCAGCCTTGTCACCAGTGACATCCACCCTGCTCTTACTACTGCAAAAGTGTCCCTGCTCCTGAGCAAAACACAGCAGGAGGTGCTGAGCACCAGTGGGAAAGCAGTTTTGCCAATTTCTTTCTTCCAACCACAGGTTTATTTGTGTTGACTGCGTTTTGTAGATCTTCAGAGGCAGTCGGTTGATATCACCATGAGCAGTGACAGCCACTGTTGCATATTGTGCAAGGTGTTTTTGTTTTGCTGAACTGGAGTAGATGAGAAGCTTCAAGATGTGCTGTGGGGGAAAATCCTGAAGTATCAGAAATGAGCTGACAGTATAACAAGAATAACAGTACTTGTAAATATGGATTCAAAGTGAATAATGCAGGAAATGAAGTGCAGCTAGGTAATGCTGCAGAGGGCTTTTTGATTAGGAATTGGTAATTTCTTCCTTAAAGGAGTGTTGCTCAACTGAAAGTTAGTTGCAGTTGTTTTCTTTTAAAGTATGCATATATAATTTCAGGTATAATGTAAGCAGTAAAAGTGGTCTGTATATACTGCAGGTGAAGCTGAAGCTTGGGTGACTTGACATATGCTTTCAATGCTTTTTATGTAACTTTCTGCAAGCAATTAAATCTCTTCGTAGTTCCTGGTCTGTTGAATTGAGAGATGATACCTAAAGCCTAATTCTTCAGTGTCTTGAAATAACAAGTAGAGAAGTGCTGTGAAAATGCCTGTTAGTGTAAATCACTCAAAATGCTGTAATTTTAAAATGTTTTACCCTTCACTGCTTGCACTACTTAATTTTATGCATCTAATAATTTTGCTTAGAGAATTTATTCCATTTCCTTAGCTCATGACTTGGCACAACAGTGCAGTGTTGGGGCTTCTAGGAATACATGCAAGTTTAGAGAAGTTAAAAGAAATATATGTCCTCTATAAAAAAGTGCCTAAATTGGTCTGAACATGCCTTCGAAAGGTGATATATTTGTACATTATTTAATTTGAGCTAGAACTGTTATTGAGTTTCATTATTGGTATGTGGATGTACAAATGCTTTTGTGCCCACAGTTGTATATGTGTGCATGAGTGCTTCATTAAAAAAATAAATGAAGGAATCCGGATTTATGTAGACTAACCTTGGTCTCTATTATCTGTTGCTTAAAGGCATATCTCAGATGCTTCTGGCTCCAGTATAGGATGCCATGTTGCAGCAATAGCCTTTTCACTGCTGAGTCATGACAAGGCTTCAATATGATCTGAGGTTGTCCAGTTCTGGCACTTGACTGGTCCTTGGGAGCTGATAAGTGACAGCTAGAATGGCTTGGGGCTGTATTATGCATATAATTGTATGCTTTATTTAATTTTGTGTTGGGCCAGTTTGTCACTTTTGGGAATGTGAAAAGTGGGTAGAGAAAGGAATAGAAAGTGTCATCTTTAAATAAGGGAGCCGGTTTAGTGGTGAACTGTGTTTTAGGAATTAATGCCTAGGTTATGCATGCCTGAACATACTTAGATTTTTTTTGTCCTAATTGTTAATAAAATAAATTGAGATGGGAAATTTCAATACTTTCAATAGTAAAGAAATGGAGCTTCTCAAACAGCTTTAATGCCAGTGTCAATAAGAGGCAGTGTTACCTCATAGGCAAGGAATGGTCACTACATGGCTTCACAGCAGCATTTAATTTAAGATGTAACTTGTCAAATATACTGATGGAACAAAAATTTTAAATACAGTATTTTAATTTAAAGTGTCCTCTCTGCTTTTTTGCAGGGCTTTTTTTTTTTTTTAAAAAAAAAAACAAAAAAACCACCACAACAACAACAAAAAGAATGTTTTATGTTTTTGTCCCAAGCCTGGGATGACCTGGAGGACTTAAGGCAGGACTGTGTCCTTCCAGAATATAGTTTGGGTTAAAAAGTACTATGCGTGATTGCTTGTCTGTGTCTTGCTGCCTCTTCCCCTCTGTATCATGAGAAGAGGTGAAGGAACCAGTTTACTCTGAGCAGGCTCCCTGTTCCCAGATGCTGCCCTGGGGTTGGGGAGAGCTGGAGGCAGCTCAGAGTGTCCACAGGTGACACCTGGCAGTGTGCCTGACAGTCGGCTGCACCCGCTGATTCCAGTGGGGTTTTGCTCTGCCTCACAGCAAGCTTTTTATCCTCCTTAGTTGTTTTTTTTTCTCTTTGAAGGTATCTCAGGAGCTCCTAGAAAATTCTTAAGTCACATGTGCTTTAGACAAAGGAAAGGAAGAGTGCAAAGTGTTAAAGGCCTTTTGTTGAATGTGGGGCTTATGATAAAAGATCAGAAGTGGAGAAGAAATATATGTGTGTGTGTGTGTGTGATAATCCAAACCACAGTTGCATATGACTTTGTGGTGCTTGCTTTTGGAGCATTGTGCTTTAGACAAATCAGTTCAGTGCATTGAACTGAGATTGTGTGGTAAAATCCTGCATGGGGTGAAGTCTGCAGTGTGGCTCTCCCTGTACTAGCTTTGTCTGTCTGCATTGAAGGTAGTCATGTGTCCTCACCATGCCCACCTGTGCACCCTGGATTGATGCTGACTTTTGTTTTTGCCTTTGCAGTCTGACTGACAAGAGGCAAACATGGCCCAAGCGCCCAGTGATCCAAGTAATGTGGAAACTGCTGATCCAGAGGAGAGTTCTCCGAATATGATAGTGTACAGAAAGGTAAGGGTTGCAAATATCTCTTCTTATGTGGTTCACTTGCAATAGGACCCATGCCCCTTTTTTGAAGTCAAAGGTATGCTTCAGGCTGCTTGGATGCATAGCTGAAATAGTTTTCAGGAAAGTGGATGTCTAAAACTACAGCAATTGAGAACTGGGAACTTTTACTCTGTTCAGCAGAAGCATTTAAGTTCATTAGCACAAAATATTTGGTGACAAACTAATAACTTGAAATTTATAAATTCTTGTGAATAGTTGTGATGTGACTTTAGCTAATTGTTCAAGTTTGCTAAGTCTAGCTGAAAGAATTGTATGTACCTTCCAAACATAAAACTTGGAAGTATTTTTTTTTTCTATTTTCACATTGTTGTTTTGTTGCACAATTTACAGTTTCATTATTTGTGGGTAGTTGTTTCTACTTCCTGTTGCATTGCTGAAGTTATAAAAGAAACCTCTCAAGTGCTAGTGAAAAAGGAACTAGAGAAAGGTAAAATAACAGCAGTACATGATGTTGAAGGATGTTCTTTCACCATGATGAAATATCTTATTCTGAAGTACTTTGGAGGTAGTATAGAAGATGAAGGAAAGCAATCTATTGGCCCATTTGCTGAGATGTTGTTTAACTCTAGGGTAAGTGTATCTCTTGTTTATGAAATTGAATAGTTTAATGAAATCATATAAATATGTTTTATTTATCCTGCAAAATGTTTCTTAGGTAGCATGGAAAAGTGTTGTATGGTTCTTACAAAAATAAATTTCTTGTATGGCTCAGATAAGCTACCTTTCTATTAACTCAAGAGCTACAATGCTAGCTCAAATCAGGTTTCCTTGTGTAGTATGATCCTGGAAAAAAACCCTCATTTTCCCTCATTTTTACACCTTATAAGATAGCTATAAATAACTAAAATGTGTTGGGTGTACATGAACTGTTTTCTGTTTTCATGATTGCAATCTTGATGACTTTCATATACTGAGAAAATAATTTAGGTTTTCTATAGAGCATAAGTTGTTTAGAGTGTTACTTTTTGATAACCGTAATTTTGTTCAGTTGTTGCATATTTGGTTTGGAATCTGGAATTGTTAACATGGGAAAATTTTATGGGTAATGTGTAGGCTTGTTTGTTTTGAATGTGTTATGAACACACTTTGGCTGCTAATTTGGAAGCAGCAATAGTTGGTTAGTCAGATTATCTTTTTAGAACCTGTTTTCTGAGAGGTCCAACACTGCAGCAGGTTGAAGCAGATGTAGGATATGAAAGAAGTTTCTGGTTGTATGATCCAGAATTAGGGCATTAAATCTGTGAAACTGCAGAGAATCCACTTGCCTCTTATTGAAATCATTGTTTTATTTGAATGTGCTTCGGTTTCTGTTAATCTCATGGCATTTCTACTTAGGGATTTCTCTGTTTTGTTGCCTTTTAGTGTTTAATTATTGTCGCTGTAGAATAAGGCTTGCAAGTTCTACAGTATCAACAGGGAACATCCTCATACCATTGGATTTGTCTCTCCTTACTGCTGTTCCTCTATGAGTATTATCAGCCCTTCATACTACAGTTTCTGTCAAACTATAGTTATCTCAGAATAGCATCCCCCATATATTGTATTTTGTATTGTCAGTATTAATGCATGTCTGCCAGTTTTTTTGTTGAGGGTTTTTGCTGATTTTATGAATAGGGTTAATATTACCTATTCTTCAAAGTTAATTTCCATTGGTGACTTTCTACATGTAATTTTCTGTTTTATATTGGGTATATGTATTCTACATCAATTATGTTCCTTAGTGTTGAGAAATCATAGGCAAAAACTGAAAAAATACTTTTATTCTCTTGATTATCTCTCCTCTCTTCAGATGAGTGTTTAGCTCTTCATCTCTCATTTCCTTTCAAATGGCTTGATTGCCAGTAATGAATGAGAAAACCCCACTGCACTGGACTCCCTGAAACATACAACACGATCTGCCAGCATGCAGTACAGTTCAGGGTGGTTTTTGTGTCACAGTAAAAAGAAAATATTTGCTTCTAACAGCAGGGGTTCTGAGATGCAATTGTTGATCCCCCTAAAGAAGAAGAAATAAGGATGGGCCTCAATAATTGAGTCACAGTAATTCCTGCTGTGTCAGCTATTTGTGTTGCTTCTTGTGACTGCCATATTTGTGGGTTTTGAGGGAGGGAAGCCCTACAAATACAACCCTGAATTATTTATGTCTTCTTAACTGAGACTTACTGAAGTCTGTTTGAAGTTCATTAGCCAAGAGGGTGGTTGTGATAGCCTGGTTTTCTTTATAAGCATTGCAGAAACATCTTAAGGACAAATCAGGGCTTATGTGGTGCTGAGGGTCCCTTTGGAGCAACCTCTGTCTGATTTGTTTATGGAGAAAAGCACAGAACAGGCTGTTCTCTTAGGTAGGTAAAACTAAGTGGGATGGATTTGGGTCATGCAGAACAAAATAAATTTATTTTGACTCCACTTTGTAATATTCTCTATGGACTCCTGCAAGCAAATGGATTCTAACTGCTTTGATCGCTACAGCAGATGGTCTCAATGAGATAGATCTTTATTTTCTCCAGGGTTAACCTTTTGGAGGCTGATTTTTATCAAATTGTGAGGCATGTTACTTTTTTGATCCAAAATGCTCCATGTTTCCCTACTGTTCTGAAAGACATCTGTGTGCAGACAGTGTTTAGGGTGTGATTTGCCTGCCCTCACACTTGTTGAAATGAATGGTACCCTAAACTACATGAGCTGTATTGACTAGGTCATCTTTGACTATCATGGGTGCCTTGACACATAGCTGTCAGGTACGTACATCATATGGTAGAAAGATGTAATTGACTGAGCTGCATCCCATTCCTAGGATTTGTGCTTCCTCTCATCCCTGAGTAAAAAATGTAGGAATTATGTTTTCTTTAATCAGTTTGGCCACACCTGGAGAAGATGCTGGTGTATTTTTTTGTTGGTATCGCTGTAAGAAGAGTGGTGTGCGGTGCTTAAGAAGACTTTGAAATGTGCTGCCCTTCTTTTCATGGGAGCAGGTCATGTCAATGCACAAGAGCTTCTGTGCAAGTGACCCACATCCTAGTCCTCACTTCAGCCTGTGAACATTGTGTGGAGGCTGCAGCACAGAAGGAAAAAAAATGCAATAAAAAGCCAGTGAGAGGAGAAAACCACACTTCAAGCGAACAGTAACAGAAAATATCAAATGATTCTAAGTGTCTGTCACATCCCCTTGAAATTCAGCTGCCTTGATTGCCTTTCTGGATTACAGGTGTCAGTTTCTATGTCCCAGGGGCCCTTTAAATCATCATTGCAGTAATCCAAGTCTGAAAATTCACCTCTGCAGAACACATTGAAGGACAAACCATTCATGGACATCTCAGAATCACAGAATCATTAAGGTTGAAAAAGACCTCTAAGATCATCAACCATCAACCCAACACCACCATGCCCACTAAACCATGTCCTGAAGTGCCATGTCTACACAGTCCCACCCTCTGGTACCAGATATGTTAACAAAATAATTCGGCAAATTGTATCTTACAGAAAGAATGGTAGAAAATTGCCTTGTCACTGAAATAAAATAAAAATTGAAATATTTGAAGCATGACTAAATAAGAACTGAAAGTATCAATAAGGAAGAATTGTTTAGGAGTATCTGAGGAATATAGCAAGAAGGATGAAAACACAGAAATGAAAAGCTTGATTGGGTAGCAAGGCGCACTTGTTCCTGAGAAAGATCTCTTGGGATGGGGAAGAGTTCACAAACTGTACTGTTAGAGATGTTCAGAACCACTATGAGCGTGCATGGGCTGAAGATATATCAAAGGGTATTGTCAAATAAATTACTTGGATCATCTGATGGTATATTTACATGTCTGCTCAATTTTACCAGGCCCGTTTTCTGTATTGACTTGCTAACCTTGGCGCTCAGTGAGTTAAATTTTGAATTTTTATGGTTACTCATCATAAATCTTTTGAACAAGCAGAAAAATCTAATTTCCACAGGCAATTACTGTTCTAAGTAAATGTAATACAAACTTGCAGCTGCCACAAGATGCTTTCAGAAAAATCTGAGTTGTTTGCTACCTTCAGTACTTGGCAGCCTTACTCTCATTTTAAATGCTGGTTTAAGATCTGAATTACAATAATTAAAAAAAAGAAAAGCTAACAAAAAAACCCCAAAAAAATCCCCACAAAAAAACCCCAAAAAACCCAAACCCTCAAAACACAACCTTGCATTAGCAGCCTTTCTCCAGGCAGATTCCAGGGTTCCAGTCATGGCAAATAGCTGGAGTGTTGCTGTCGGACATGATCCAATGTGGCTGATAGGGCAGGAAATCTGAGAACAAGCAGTTGTGCAGACAGATGTGTGCATGCAGAACATGTATGGAGCACAAAGCAGAAAGATGGGGGAAGAGACTGTTGTTGAAATTAGCTGTTCAGATAAAAAAATATAATTCTGGTATTTGGAGCTAATCAGAAGACTAAGCCTACACTTTGCTCTTAAGTTCTGCTACATGGCACATGAAAAACTGTCAACAGGACACTGTCCAAGCAACCAAAAGCAGATAAATCCCAGAAGAATGATGACTTGTTGCAAACAAAGAAAAAGCTGCAGTGTTAACATGGATTTCACGCATATAACTTTTATACTTCTATTAAATGAAAGCAGTCTGCATCTTTTTTGAGGTTTTCTAACCCTTTCAATGTTTCTCTTCTGGTGAGAGGCAGCAGAACCTAAAATACGTTTAAATTGATGAATACTTTTGGAATTATTTTTGTCTATTGAGTTATGTTTTGGTATTCTCTTGCATGTAAAGGCCTTAACATTATTTTTGTACATGAATTCTGAGTTCGTTATACAGTTATTTCTGGTTTGTAACTTTTTTTAATCTTAAAAATAAAAACTTATGATGAACATTCATGAGTTGATAACACTGAAGACATTTTCAGATTTTACTGAAAGATTTTCCTGTACTGTTGTTAAGAGATTACTTTATGGCATT